CCCCCCCCCCCCCTCGACCCCTTTCCCTGACAGGCTCGCGCTCAGCTCTCGTCGCCACCTATGCAGACCCCGGCATCCTCTCAGCAGCAGCAGCAGCAGCAGCAGCAGCAACAGCGACAGCGACAGCGACAGCGACAGCCGTGGGAGCCGATGGACCTGGCGCACATGGCTAGAGTCGCAGCCAGCGCCGGCGGCAGCGCCAGCGCCAGCGGCAGAAGCTTCGCCACCGGCATGAACATCGCAAGCGTCGAGGAGCCGACCTCCGCGGCCGCGCCTTCGGCGGAACGGTCGCTCCTCGCCTTGCCCTCCTCCTTCCCGTCCCTCTCCGGTCTAGTGAGGGCGTCCGGCGGCGGCGGCGGCGGCGGCAGCAGCTCGCAGTACCAAGACGTCGCCACCGCCACGGCTAGCGACGTCCACGGGCGAGCGCCCGCCTACCGGGATCATCGAAGACGTTCTGCCTGGACGACGCAGTCTCAGTGGAGCTCCTACCCTGGGGCCGGGCCTCCGCTCAACGACCCCTGGCTGGAAGGCACCAGGTCTCGAGATCGCGGCTTCTCGCTGGGTGGTGGCAGCGGCGGTGCGGAGGGCGGGCTCATTGACGCAAACCCGTACCACCAGCAGCAGCAGCTCCATTCGTCTTCCTCCCAGGCGAGGGCCAAACGAGTGAGTCATCCCCCCGGTGGCGGCGGTGTCGACAGCCTCATGGGCGTTGACGAGCTCCCGGTCTCCGCGCCGGGTCAAAGCGGCGCTGCCAGTGGCAGCGGCGGCTACCGCCAAAGCGCGCCGTCGTGGACGGTGCGACCACCGCCACCGCCGCCGCCTGCCGCCACTGCGAGCGGCGCCGGGAGGTACCAAGACCCGGCCTCGCTGCTGCCGCCGTCTCTGCCGTCGCTGCGGCCGGACCTGCAGGAAGGAGGGCGGTACTCCAGGGACGCGGCGTCGCCGTCCAGGTCCGCCGAGGGCGGCGGCGGGGCCGGTGCCGGTGCCGTCGGCATCGGTTCCCCCCTTCGCGGGCGCGACGTGGCGTACTGGCAGCAGCGCGGGGACGCCGCCGCTGCCGCCACCGCCACTACCCTCCCTTTCGCCGCCGCACCCGCCGCCGAGGCCGCCGTCGCGATGACCAGGCTAAGCCCACCGCCCGTGCCGGCGTCGGCCGGCTGGGACTTGGGAAGGGCGGCGAGCCGCGGAGACGCTCGGCCCCGTCAGCAGCTGGGGAGCGGCGGGGCCGCTGCAGGCCTCGCCGGAGGAGGGCGGCAGTGGCCACCGGTCGGAGGCGAGCGCCGGGGTTTCTACCACGACGACCAGTTCTCACGCGGCGGCGGCGGCGGCGGCGCCTCGGCAGCAGGGCAGAAGCAGCACCGCCACGACGAGTCCCCCCAGCAGCAGCAGGAGCGTCTGGCACGGCTGCGCTCTTCCTCCGCCGCTGGCGCTGGCGCTGGCGCTTCGTTCTTGTCGTCGTCGTCGCAGCCGCCGCTCTCTTTGGGTGGCGCCGCCAGCGCCGCCGGCGGGAGTGACCCTGGCCGGTACGGCGCGCCCTTGCGGCCGCTGCTCTCGGGCCTCCCGGACACGGACCGCTCGCCGTACCTCTACCTCCCGGGGCTAGCGGAGGTGGGGACAACGGCGGCGGGGCAGGTGCCGGCGGCGCGCGACGCTAAAGGCTTCGGACTCGGGAGCGGGGCCGCTGGTTCTGCCGCCGGTGGTGCTGCGGCTGGAGGGTACAGGGAGCAGCCGCAGCAGCGGCGAAGGTGCGCTTTTCCCCCACCCCGGCGTTGTTGGCAAGGGTGGTGGCCTTATTCCCTCGCCTTGTCTTGCTTGAAGCGTATTTTTTAGATGAGGGATATTCCAGGCGTGCTTGTCAGATGTTGGATAGTCTAGCGTGTTTTCCAGACATGCAGCAAGTGCCAACTAGTTGTACCATTTGCAATATCTGGTGCGCCATGGAAAGCCGACCCCAACCATACCCGCGATTCGCCTCTCCCCCCAAACTCGCGCCACACAGGGCGGCCAACGCGGCCACTCCCTCTGCGCCGTCTTCCGGAAGGGGCTGCAAGGAGGATGGATGTGACCGGCGTCCGATCTACGCGTACAAGGGCAGCAAGAAGGCGGCGTACTGCGCAAGGCACCGGTGAGCAATCTGTATCTCCTCCTTCTCGCCGGGGGGGGGGGCATTTTCGCATGCCTTTGTCGTTAGACCATTCACCATGCGTCCAGTCGAGAGGATGGAGCATGACTTCCACAGGACCGATCACCGATGGCCAATCGCTCCTTACCAAAAGTAGCTCAAGAATGTGATCCCTACCCCTGGGGGGAGGGCGTACGCAGCAGGCCCTTCATGCCTTACTTTGTTGGACCAATGACCACGCGTCCTCGAGAGCTCTGCCGCTGATAATCTTCGTTCGCTACACCTTCGCTGGACATTCGTCCCATATACATGTGTGTTGTTTTTTCTTTGTATCCTCCTCGAACGTTGCTGACAATGGACCGTCACGAACACGACTGTTACTTTTTTGTTTTGTGTGTGTTTTATAATAATATAAAATAATCAGGCTGACCGGGATGATCGATACGAGGCACCCGCTGTGCAAGAACGAGGAGTGCACCAGGCAACCCAGCTTCGGGATGGAGGTGAGGCCCGCCGTTGGCTCGGGGTACCGCTTTGGCTACGTATCTTGGTCTTCTTCACTCTTCTTTCATTCAGTATCGGACCCAAAAACCCAGGGAATCTCCCGCCAGTTGGTTGTTGACATCGCTACGGACATCACTGCAAGATTTATTGACTTTTCCTGCTCGGGCAATGATGAATGGGCTCGATACCCACAATCATCGGCTGAGTTGAGCCAGCTTGGCACTTCTTCATAGGTGGCACCCCCTTTGAGGAGCTGCTTGTGCAACGCCATCAATCACTCCGAACGTCACTCTCCCTTCATTCATTAACTCCTCGTCCAAGCCGTTGCGACGTGTCCTGGTGTGGCGTCAAGAGCATGGCACGAGCACTACGAGCGCTTTGTTACACACCAAAACGTTGCTGCCGGGTGGCGCTTGTGTGACGTTGACTTCTCTGCCAAGTTGTGTCGTCGTGTGATGGTGCTGCCTCTCTGAAGAGAATTAATTACATATCCCTGCACCTTCTTGAAGGAATCACTCTCCTCTGTTTCGGCGAGAAGCACAATTTTACCGAAAAACGCCTCTCGAGCAAAATTATTGGCAAGAGCCGCATTTTTACCTTGGTCGATTGGCAGCCAGAAGGAGCTCCAGGTTGGGAAAGAGGCTTCGCACGCTGAAGATTGGACGCCAACGTCTACGTTGGATGCAGATAAAACGCCCACCCGCCCAGGCAGCAACGTTTTTTCGACCATTCAAAAGTGAATGATCATGAACGAAGTTTTACCGGCAATGCTGCCACACTAGCCGGGGACTCTCTCTTCCCTAGAGCGCGATCTCACTCGCCTTGCATATTGTCCCGAGGCCCTATGCTAAACTGGAATAATTCGGTGGACAAGCTTGGACAGACTCAAAATGAGCCCAGTTTCCAGCCGATTTATTTTTCTTGCTTTCACTGAACAGACTTTACTGGAGCACCTCCGTTTCTGCTGCTGTGGTGATATCTCGAACGGGTAGTCTTTCTGTGTGTTTAATTGTATACGATCTATAAACTGGAAGTGTCGACCTCGTTAATGTTAACTTCAATACACTACAGCAGTAGGGCCTCCCAGCGGTCGCAATTTCCGAGAAGGTGCCACAGATGGCGGAATTAGCACACATCCCTACACATCCCTAACAAAGGGTCGCGTTGTGTGGAACTCGTCCCACCACAGATGACGCAGGTGGTTCCTGAACCTTGCCATGGCGTCACAAACACAACTTCTGACAGCGCCAGATATCCGTGGTAAAGGCACCATCACGCGGCTGCCTCAAAATTCTGATAAAACGCCAAGTAACCATGGGTAAGTACCGCACGATCCTCTTCCAAGCATCATTACGCCCTCCCTTCCTCTGCCTTGTAATTTCTTCACGCAGGGCGACCGCCGCGCCTCGTACTGCGCGGAGCACAAGCTCCCCGCGATGATCAACGTGTCGAGTCGCCGCTGTCAGCAACAGGGGTGCCTCCGTCATCCCAACTTCGGCTTCCCGGGGGACAGACGCGCTTCGTACTGCAGGTGGGTGGGGTGTGAGGTGGATGCTTTTGTGTGTGAGTGTGTGTGTGTGTGTGTGTTTTTTCTTATGGTACTGCTGTATGACGTGAGGTTAACGATTGTGTGCAGCAAGGGCTAATGTCTGCTATTTTTTGTTGTGTGCGAGTTGAAACGACTATGTGCAGCAACGGCTATTATCAATCCACCACAAGTCCCCAGGACAACACCCGACCCGTCGCCATACTAAAAATAGCTTGAGATTTTCATTCATCGGCAAGTTCCCAGTGCAAAACTTCCCACCCGTCTTCATACCAATCACGCGTTATTTATTTATTTTTTTGCTGTCGGCCCTCCTCCTCCCCTGCTTGTGCTCTTCCCGCCTGCTCTCCACGCGCACAGCGGCCACCGCGAGAAGGGTATGGTGGACATTGTGTCGAGGCGGTGCCGAGAGCCATCGTGCGGGAGGCGCCCTCTGTACAACTTCGACGGCCTCCGCCCGGTGTGCTGCAGCCAGCACAAGTCGCCCGGCATGATCGACGTGGTCAGCACGCGCTGCCAAGAGCCGGTAGGCTGAAGTACGGCAGACCCTTATCCCCTTTTTGCTGCGGTTACTGGAACCCGCTTTTACTGCAGCTTCCTTCCTACTCCCTCTTCTTGGACTTGTTCTTTCTTTCCAACAGCATTTTTGCTTCCTTTCCAAGCTCCCTTTCCAACCTCGTTTTGGCGTCCTTTTCGACCCACTTTCTGCTTCCCTTTCAATCCCGTTCTTGCTTCCCTTTCAGCCCCCTTTTTTTTTTTGTCCCAACCCTCGTATGGATTATTTCTCAGTCCCTTTTGTTGCATTCACCCGGACCAACACCGCATCTCAGCCCTCCCACCACTTTGGGTCCACCGCAACCACCACCTCCCCCTCCCCCAGGGATGCTTCTGCCACCCGTCCTTCGGCTACGCCTCAGACAAGAAGGCCCGCCGCTGCGCCAGGCACCGCCTGGAGAACATGGAGGGGGTCAAGGGCCACCGCCAGAAGCGCCGCCGAGAGGTTACAGCCGCTGCTGCTGCTGCCGCCGCCGCCGCCGCCGCCGCCGCCGCTGCTTCCACCACCACCACTGCCGCGCCGTCCCCGGCCCCGGCCCAAGCCTTCCCCACCGCCGCCGCTGCCGCTGCCGCTGCCGCCGCCGGTAGTCAAGGCACGACGAGGCCGGCTGCCCGGGCGGCTGCGGCTTCTCCTCCGGCTCCCGCCGACCCCGATCCGGAAGGCGGGGGCGGCGGCAGCGGCAGCGGCGGCGGCGGCGGCGGCAACGCCCGACGCGGGGGCGAAGGGGAGCACCGATGATGATGATGATGATGATGATGATGACGTCACCGGGGGGGTGTGCGAAACCGTCGTCGGCGGTGGCGTCCCGCGGCTCCTCTGCTTCCCCCGGGGGGAAGAGGGTGGGGTAGGTCGCGAGAATCGTTCGCAGTCGCGCAACCCTCCCCCTCCCCACGAGGGATCGTTTAGTGACCGGATTTGGAGCGATGATGTATTGAAGGGGGGTGGGTCTTTACAAGCCAGCCCACTGCCGGGGCTGACTTTCGTTTCGTTTTTTTTTTTTTAGGGAAGAGGGAGCGGAATAAGCAAAGAAAAAGAGCGGAGTAAAACGTACCGTAGTAAATCAACTTGAAGTGAGAAAATTGTGCTCGTGGTCTTTGTTTAGCCCGTAGTGTGTGTGATCAGCCTCTGTTTTTTGTTAGCGACAGCGGTTTAAGGGTAGGGAGTGTTAGTGGCAGTGGTGCAGTGAACGGAAGTCAGAACCTTGTAGTCTTGGTAGGAGTGTGGTTTTGAGTGGTTTTTGCGTTAGGGCGCTGAAGGCTTGCTTGGTGATCTGACCAAAAATATTTTTGTGATCCTTTAGCTTTCTCTTTTTCTTCTTATTTCGTCGCGTGTTTGGTTTGAGCATGGCCTGTCTAGATCCGTTGTTCGTCGCCACACGTAGAGGCTGATTTTTGCAGCGGCGTGTGTGGTTATACGCTGCGAGCACGGCCGGTTCCCGTGCTATGTCTGCACCGGTAGCTGATCCTGGCCCGGGTCGGAGTTTATCGGCAGCGTGAAAAGGGAGTGGACTTGCGGACTACCGATTTTGTTGCGAGTAGTTAGTATAAACAAGCAAGCGTTTTTTCCACCCGGCGACGCACACTCACACGCCATTTTATTTTTTTAGGCCCTTCTTTCTAGCAGCATAGAAGCAATACGTTCAGTCGTTCGTCCAGCACTCCTCGTGCGTTAGGTACCTTGCCTCCGTCCCCTGTCGTGTGCGAGAGGAACGATTTTTTTTTGGCCATCCGGGCCTGGCATAATTCGTTTTTTCTTGGCGGTTTCATTTCGTGTGTCCGTTGGTCGGTCACGCGGCGGGCACTGCTGCTTTTTGTTTTTAATGCATTTCCGGGAGTAGTAGAAAGAGAGTTCTAAGAAGATGTCTGCATACATACATGTCTGCATACATACGTAAGTACTTCGTGTTCTTTTTTTTTCTGTTTCTTTAGTACCTTATTCTTTTAGATTTCCACATGGCGCACCTTGTGTGTGTCTCTCTGCCCAGTCGGTTGTGTATTCTTTGATGATGATGTTGTACCAGCGGTACTGTCACTATTCTTCCTTTCTTTACTTGAGTCAGGGAGGGAATAGGGGGCGGTTGTAGATGTGTGGATATTAAGCTTGGTTTTCTTCTCTACGTCGATGTTTTTTTTTATGGATTGTTTAAGTGTGATGCTTGCGGTACCGAGCGGGGGAGCGAGGTCTCTTGGCAAGACGGATGAGATTTTCACCGTCGGGGCGACCAAGAACTCGCTCGGGTTGGTGGAGATGAGCACTTTTCGACTGCGCGACATCTCCCGCCCCTACCCCGGATCCTTGGCTTTTTACGTGCGACGTTTTTTTCACACATTCGTTTACACGGTGTTCTCTTGAGTCGGAACCGAACCACCACGTGGTGGGATGAATCCGAGCCGGGTAGAGA